CTGTACACGTGTTTACAATAAATGACAGATGTGATCGTGACGTGTGCATTCCTCACCAAGCTGCGTTGCAGTTGCTCAACTTTGGGGAGAATGCTCTCGACGGCTTTCAAGCAATCTGCCTGGCAAGGACCAAGGCGACATCTGAGAAAGCAAAAAGACACGGCAAGTCGGCGGCATACGTACTTGTGTACTTGATCTTGAGGAGATCACAATCTTGAGCAAAAGCATTCTTGCTTCTTGAGTGAATAGTGGTGTTCTTGATACGGGATAACATAGTAGCACGACCTTGTAGGTTCATAAAAGCCATGGCGACCTCCCAGCACCAGTCTCTGCCTGCGCTTTTTCGAAAAGCCTTTTATCAAATCTGTCTTTGGCCGTCTGTCTTCTCAACGCAAAGACCTCACATGTGGCACATCCAAGAGGCCATGCGACGGCTTCCAGAGCTGTACAATCCAACTGACATTCCAACGGTCAAGAAAACCCTGATGAACGGTATGATGCGACACGTTGCCCTTGGCTTTGTCACCGGGGCTGGGAATCCTTGACAACAGCACCCTTAAGGTCCCCGATTCAGGCTTGACTTCTCAGGTAGGGCTGCACTAGTGATCGACTTGAAGAAATGTTGCTCTGCTGGCTCTAGAAAAACACGGTAGGTATCGGTCCGGAAATCAAGTTTGGACTTGAAGGTCTTGAAGACATCTTTGAGTCAGTGTGGTCTAGTTGCCTGTTTCAGCACCAGCCACATGCTAAACAAGGCAGCAGCACAACATGTTTATTGGTGGTGGGCCTAGAGCCACACTGCCTGCGGTAAACAACAATGGCTTGGTGGGTTGGATGCTTCAGGGCCTTCAGGGACAGGAGGGGGAACTCAGCACCGTCCTCTTCCGCTTGGCAGTGTGTAGTTTGAGTAATTGATGAGAATTGAGACACTAGAAATAGTCTAGTAGCAAGAAGCTACTACGTAGGGTGGAGGCCATCGCTACTAGGGTGGAGCCCATCGCTACTCGGGTGGAGGCCATCGCTACTAGGGTGGAGCCCGTCGCTACTCGGGTGGAGGCCATCGCTCTTGGGTTGGAGGCGATCGGTCTTGGGTCGGCGGTCATCGCTCTTAGGTTGGAGGCTATCGCTCTTAGGTTGGAGGCCATCGCTTTTAGGTTGGAGGCCATCGTTCTTAGGGTGGAGGCCATCGCTACTAGGGTAGAGCTATCGCTACTAGTAACAAGAAGCTATATACTTACAAAAATCACAAGGAAACGGCCTGATGTGTCCTCACATGCTGCATTCAGTCGAGAAACTGTGGCTTTCTTCGGAGTTGCAAGAGGCATAGTTCCTTGCGTTCCAAAGCCTTCCTTCTCCATTTTGGAGATCAAATCTTCATCTGCCTCAGTAGGTATCCAAGTGAGACTAAACCCATATCTCCCCAAAAAGGCTACTTAAGTTTCCATCTTGAAGCCTCGCAAGCCTTTTGAACAAAATGCCCTCCAAGCCTCGTCATATGTGGTAAACAATTCAGACACGCAATGTCTTTGTAGCTGCTGTTGGTTAGATATATGATAAATGGCACGAAACCGAGAGGAACGGAAAAGCACCGACGTCGAGAGCTTTCATTGCTACAGCACTGAAGATACGGAAGGGTATTTCCACAAGACTTGGTCCCCCAACCACAAGCCCTTCAGTGGGAGGGAGAGCTAAACGGTGATAATGGCGCGGGTGGCTTTTGTGACAGTTTGTATTCAATGCTGTCTGATGAAAATAAACCACCCTTGAAAAAAAAGCGAGCGAGAGCGAGAGAGCGGGAGAGAGACAGAGAGACAGAGAGAGAGAGAGAGGAAGCAAGTGAGCTCTCAGCCGCGGTACATCGTCCAGCGGATCAGAAGCTGCTCGGTCCTTTTCCTTTCGACCTGCAAATTTAACTGGATTACATTCTTTTCTTAGCAGTCTTAGCAGTTCAAGACTTGATCATGAAAAGCCTTGGCGCAGTAAGAAGGAATGCAAACTGACTGCCTGCAAAAATGTATCTGCATTTTGGCCCTTGTTATACAATCGTGTCCCTCTCCTTTCAAATCAATCTGCCACTACTGAGGTGCTTGAGGGTCCATGAGGGTCCTAAGTCCTCAAAAGCTCCACATCGCCTGGCGAAGAAAAGTAGCCGCTACACATGTCCTCGATGGCACTGACCAGTTCGTAAGCTGCGATGAGCTCAGATCCGAGTATAGCCTCAGTCTACACACTTGATACTCTCCGTGAGAAGTATTCAAGTTCAGTTCCTTCTGTGTTTAGGCCGTCTCTTCATGAATCTATTTTGATGCAAGCAAAAGCAGCTGCAAATGCTTCGTCTGGCTCATCCACTTCTCCTTTGCTCAGGCCTTGGAAGGTGGAAGGTTCAAGGCAAAACTGTCAAACGCATGAGCAGTAAACCAAATACAATCAAGTAATTCACCGTACCGTACCTTTGCATCTATGTCCACCTGGTCTGTTGCTTGAGGTTCCCTCGTTGATGAATCCCAAAATTTCAGGCCGATGGGTGATAAGAACAGGAAAACTATGCTACTGTGTCACTATGCGAGTATGCCCTATGCCAAAGCCTACGTCGCGGAGAATTGGGTCAAGATTGGGAGAGTGAGCTTGCAACACAAGAGGCTTCGCGCATAAGCTGCATTGAGTCCTTGGGTCGCTTGTGGCCTGTCAATCGACTCTATGGACTGCGACCGTCAACAAATCAAACTCTCAAGTTTCAGCCAAGGCTCCAAACATGAGATTGATATGGCGTGCTTCTAGGATTTTCTCTACAGCGAGTGACACCATGTTCCGAACCTACAAGTGGCACCGAAGAACAGAAGGGTGTGAAAGACTCGAACAGGCAACCTCAAAGGTCCCCAAATTTGTTGTTACTAGTAAGGTGCCTTGCTACTACTGAATCCGACCAAGAAGCATCGACAATCCGCAGAATTGAATTCCTGTGGAGAATAAAGTTCACAGCACTGGCTACACCTTGCATGAATACCATCCGGAATCTTTTTGGAATATGCCGCGCATCAAATACCAACTGACCGCCAGATTTTCGCTGCACAAGCATACCTGAGCCGTTACAAACATCAGAACGCTTTTGAACTGAGGAAGTACTGCAACATGGTAAGCGAACATGGCAAAGCAACAAGGAACATGTATACACTGATTTTGAGCTCTGCAAGAGGGTACCCTGCGGGTGACACATGTGATGCAACTGCACAGAAAAATTAGACTCCGCTACTGCTTTGGGCTCTTGTCGTGAGCGGCATACAGTTCATGCATCGTCGCTTCATCATCCTGGTACGACTGGTCTTCAGCCCACTGCAGTCGCTTCGCCCATGGAAGCAATCTCCGGCTGGTGTGAACCGAAGATGCTGTTCGGGCGTGGACTGGCTCGGCTCTAAATTCAATCGCCGGTTCACAGCCCTCAAATCTGGCGAAGAAATCGGCTTTGCCTTCGTTTGTGCCTCTCTCACGGGTGAGGTCTCTCGACGATCATCCTCTGTTCCTTTGGTCATCTGGCTCGCTCTCATCGTGGTCCTTCTTTCGTGTGATGGGGTCATGGCACATGGAAGAGTGAGGTAGCTGAAGAAAATGAACATCAGCATGTAGAAATTACCCCGGTTCCCTTGATCTTCATTCATCTTTTCTCCATCAGGCTGTGCTGCGGCCACATTCATCATCATAGCTCCCATGGCCAAACGAGGATAGGCCATAAGCATCATCGTTGACGCCTTTCTCCCTTTCTGGTTCACGTCCTGCTTGAGCTCTTGATTGGTCTTGTGGAGACCTTCTTTCAATTCAGCCAAGGTCGGCAACCTTTGAAGGAGAATATGGTGGTTCTGTGTTCTGGACCTCCGCGTAACCTGAGCTGAGCAGCTTCATCATCACCATGGACAACATGGCTTCGTCAAGCCATCAGCAAGCATCCACGCTGTTGGCACCAGCATGAAAAACCTCATTTCGCCCAGAAACCCTCGCCTCCTTGATCGCCAAGACATGGAGTCGCTGCAAACGACCCGCCCTTTCCTCCAGTGGAGAGCTCGAAAAGGTCTCGACAGTCGGTGGCACTGTCCACAGGAAACAAACTGGAACCACCCTCTTGGTACTCAGTGAGCAGCTTGAGTGAAGGTGTCGGCTCTTGGGCCCAAAGCTCAGTCAGCCGAGTTGAGACCATCGAGGTGGCTTCTACACCGGCCGAGGTTTCCGCGTGGGAGGTTTTTTTGACACCCTCTTACTCTTACCTCGATGGGCGAACAAAACATGACCAAAACCACAAAGCTTGCGGGCATCCTCTGGGCGGCAATCCACCTCATCCTGCCTGAGCAAGGTAGAGCACAGCTCAGGCATCAGCAGGACCAAAATGCCTTCTTGGGCCTAGGACTTGCCCTTCGTCGCTGACGCAGCATCATGGAAACACTTTTCGCAGCTTGGCGCCAGGCTCAAAGAACTTGAAACGCAAACCAAGGTCTAACTTGTCCTTGGCGCAAAACTTCTTCACCACGTCTCAAACGCTTCACCTGAGCATTCGGAACCGAAGCTCCAGGCGAGTAGAGCATAGCCACATGAGGCCTCCAATCACAGACCTCAGCTGAGTCACTTCAGCAGGCGTCAGCTGTCGATCAGCAGGTTCAGGAGCTGGTTGAAGACGTGCGGCAAAATCGCTTTGGTCAATCTTAAGACCGGTGCTCGCGCGGGTGTAGCGACAGCCTACAGCCGCAATGGGAGAAAGGAAGCTTCTCCTTTGTGATCTTGCCAAACTCCTTGCACATCTCGGAGTAGAGGCGCTCCTTGAACTCAGCTTTGCCAACAACTGCAAGGTCGTCCACATGAGTTGTCAGAACTGCCTGGAGCGATGGTGTTTTGACATCTTTCCAGCTGTAGAAGCTGTCATCCAAATGAGACGCAACTCCCTTCTGCTTCTTGAGGAACTCGCCCAGGCTGAGCTGCAACAGGAGCGTCATTCAGCCCATACACTGGCTTCAGGCATTTCAACCCGTATTGAGGAATCTTTCAAGGTTCGAGCCTTTGCCAAACGTCGCCAGCACTTGGGAGGTGGTACGACCACAACTGACCTTACTGGCGTCTTGATGCCCTGCTTCAGCAACAACTTCTGGTTCTTCATTCATCACGGCGGCAGTGGACATGAGGATTCTCTGACTAAGCCGAGATGCCGTGGCGCTTCTTGTGGCCAGTTCCATAGGCTGTGTGTCAAAACAACCCCGAGCGTACATGCGAGACTTCACAATCTTCTTGCCGAGCTTGATCTTCCAACATCGCACCCAAACGCCATCGATGATGACAACGTTAGGGTCATCAATGACGTCGGACAGCGGGATCTTGGTGAAGGCCTTTTCATCTATGAATTGGCGCAATTCCTTCTCATCGGCCTCCTCAACCACAGACCAGATTGATGCCAAATCATCTTCTTCAATCACCATCTCCTCTGACAGAGAGAGGAAACTTCCTCCTTGGTTCAGGGTCACATAGACACGCCAAAGACGAGTTCCAGGTTGATGGACTAGACAGTTGCCACGCCGTTCACGGACTGCGCGCGCTTTGCCGTGGAAGTGTGTGGTGATGTCCATCAAGGTCATGCTATTGAATCTGTTGAACCACTTTGGCACTTCCATAGTGGTTGCCCAGAAATCTTGAGCGTGCACTCTCTGCACTTTCTGGCGGTCCAGCATCCATTGAAGTGTGTGCAGAGTCTGATAGGTGTCATACCTGGCCAAAGTTCCATCTTCAAAATCGCGCGGCTTCTTTTCTGGAACCAGAGCAGGTGAGCGAGTCTCTGGCTCACAGCGCTTGGATGGGATGGCACTGTTGGCAAAAAGGACTCAACCTCTATGGCCTCTTCTTCTGGCCCCAAGAAGGATTCGAGATCGAAGTGGGACTTGTAGCGCAAGAGGAAAGTACACAAAGTAGATTGCGCACATTGAGTCCCAGTGGTTCTTGTATTCTTTCTTCAGTCTCATAGGTTGATCGTTGTCCTTGTAGGTCTTGACATAGTCGGCGGTATTCTTCAGCCAAACAAGCACTGTGCCTCGAGCGCCTTGTGGTGGTTGAAGAGTGTGCAAGGCTTGTCCATATAGGGTTCCATGCACTGGGCGCTTCAGCCATTGAGACCAACTGTCGAAGGCTTGGGTCATCTTTTCCTGCTCTTCTGAGCGATTGACTGGAATGAGCTTGAAGACATGGTTGCCTCCTTCCATAGTCAAGCGATGGCCCACAATAGAACTGTTTATACTGCTGGCTCTGTTCCACCATACGCATCATGCCATAGAGCTCTTCAGAGTTGGAGTCCGAGTTATCCAAGTTGAAAAAGGCTCCTCAGAAAGGCCGAATTAAGCGCAATGGCATGAGGTAGGACTTTCCTTGATGCTTGACGACAGCAGTGCCTTCATCTTGATTGGCCTCAAGTAGAACAGCTGGTCCACGCCAACAACCATCTCTATAAGTCTCTACCTGTGAAGTTCCAGCATTCATCTCTGCAAGATCGGATTGTCTGTGGACGTGAACGACTGGCCCTTGCGACGCGGTCTTCTGAGAGGAGACAGTGGACAACAAGAAAGACAAGACCGGAGACAAAGGGAGACAAGAAGGAAGACAAGGCGGACACAATGACCAACAAGAAGGGAGACAAGAAGGGAGACAAAAGGAAACAGAGGGAGACAAGACGAACACAATGACCAACAAGAAGGGAGACAAGACCGGAGACAGAGGGAGACAAGAAGGAAGACAAGGCGGACACAATGACCAACAAGAAAGGAGACAAGAAGGGAGACAAAAGAAAACAGAAGGGAAACAAAACGGACACAGTGGCCAACAAGAAGGGAGACAAGACCGGAGACAGAGGGAGACAAGAAGGAAGACAAGGCGGACACAATGACCAACAAGAAGGGAGACAAGAAGGGAGACAAAAGGAAACAGAAGGGAGACAAGGCGGACACAGTGACCAACAAGAAGGGATGGAAGGCAAACACGCTGTCCCGTAGGCGGACACTCCTAGAAAGCCTTGAGAACCCCTAACAGTAACCTGTTTGGGGAAGTACAGAAATCACGCCAATGACAGACCTGGGAGACAAATGAATAGAAATGCTAGATGGCCAGCGGAGAAGGGCGGACACCACCAGTGACAGACCTGGGAGACAAATGAATAGAAATGCTGCATGGCCAACGGAAAAGGGCGGACACCACCAGTGACAGACCTGGGAGACAAATGCATAGAAGTGCTCCATGGCCAGCGGAAAAGGGCGGACACCTGCAGCGACAGACCTGGGAGACAGACAAATGCATAGAAATGCTGCATGGCCAGCGGAAAAGGGCGGACACCAGCAGTGACAGACCTGGGAGACAAATGCATAGAAATGCTGCATGGCCAGCGGAAAAGGGCGGACACCAGCAGCGACAGACCTGGGAGACAAATGCATAGAAATGCTACATGGCCAGCGGAAAAGGGCGGACACCAGCAGTGACACAAAGAGCGGACACATCTTAAGAAAGAATTGAGAACCCCTAACAGTAAACTGTTTGGGGAATAAACATTGATAAACAGTTAAACACTTCAACTTGAAAGGCGAAACTTGCGATTGCAAGCCTTCAGAGTGCCTTCAGAGCGGTTCTGAAATGTCGACACAGCAATGCCATTCAATACCACAATAGTGTTCAAGTTGCTGTAGGAGCTGGCGAAGCACCGAGTAAGGCGGCTAAGCCGGAGGGTGAATCTTGACGAGGGCCTGGAGTTCATGTTCAGGACCAAGCCAACACCTGGCGACTCGCGAAGTGTTTTCTCCTCCCGGACATGCCAACACTTTCTTTTTACATCCGACCTCCCTAATTGGTTAAGTAAGGGCGAAACTAGTTTGCTACTACATATGGACGAGGGATAGCTCACGCGTCCTTGAAGAAGCGCTCGCACTACTGATTTGAGTTCTAGTTTTTAGGCTACAGTACAGGCCGGTTTAAAATCACCACTGAGGCACGGCTTTCCAAGGCTGTCAGCAGGAAAATGACCCAAATATGCAAGAGTCCCAAGCTCAGTGCTATCGACTTTGTTACAAGTTGCCTTGGGACCGCAGGGAACTCATCAGCGTGAAGTTCACTGACACATGGGCCGAATCACTGACAAAAATGGGGGATGACGTGATATTGAATCAACATGTTATGCTTGGAGCAGCAATTGAAGCGCCAAACCTCCAAAAAATGTCCAAATAAGGCAAGGCTCACAGTTCTGAGGCTGACATCGAATAGAGAGCCAATGTATGAGAGCACAAAATCTTCAAACAAAAGCCAGGCGCATAAACAAGCCAGACTCGTGGCAAGGGAGCGGTTGGTATTCACAATGCCGTTTCCGCCAAGGTATGAATATGGTTGCAAATTCTCGATCAGAATCGCATATGCGGTTTGTATCGAAAGTACCGCATACAAGATACCTTCTTCACGAAGCGACGTTGCTGCAAGAGTCACGGTGCTGAGGATAATATCATCTAAGACTTTCCAGTATCGTCGCCCAACCAACATCTTTTGGACTGCAATTCCGTAGCGTTCTTGAACTTGCACATAGACCGCATTCTTTATGATATATGGGAAGGATAGCCATTGCAAGAACATCACAATGATGTGAAACAGCACATATCCGTTCCCAAGATTCACCAGGTCGGGGCAGGCCATGTCCCTCTGTTTGTAAAGTTGGGTACCATCACCTGGCCAAAGGCAAAGATCTTATATCATATTTATTAGTATATATTATATATCATGTGAGAAACTGTTTTGTCTTGGTAGTATGGGGTGGATGTAACTCTCGGATGTTCCTGGATACAGCATGCCGCATGTTGTCCAGCATGAGCATGATACAATTTATTTTGTAATAGTGAGAATCCTTGTATGAAAGAACAACTTTTGGAATAATGCTTGCAGGTGATGTCATGACATTACAAGCTTCTGTGAAATGTCATATATTGGTCGCTAAAATCAAACATTGAGCAACCATGTGTGTTTGGTGGGTGTACTGATGTCCATCCCCGATCAACTGAAAAGGAAGTTGACGAAATGGGCGAATCAACCAACAACGAATTACGACGGATGGCCACCGCATGACTGGCACGACTGAGTGAAACAACCGTCACTCCCGCTCGGCCACCAGCAAATCGACCACGTGACAAGTCCAAACCGAAATGAAGGATTATGACAATGTGACAAACCCTCAAAAATCTAGGCGACAGTGTGGCCCAAAGCACAGCAGGAGTAGGTATATGAAATAGTCATAGCTGATGCTTAAAAATAAACAGCAGAAAACAAATCAATCCTAGGTCTCTACAGACACTGTGGCTGATGTAATTTTACACCTTACCTTAACACGTGATGGTGATGATGATGACGATGATAGGGAAAATTATGTTGGTAGCTCTTCTTCAAGGAGAAACCTTCGCAAGTGCCTTTGGGAACTCATGAAACCCTCAAGTCCACCAGGGCAAGATAGGGGAAAATCCATGGAACCGCGAGACGAGAGAAACATGCAAAAAGCCCACCCGACTCACTGCAGGAACCGACTGCCAACCCGTTGTGATGCACTCAGCAGCCAAAACCGCAAACATTCCGAAACGCCACTCCAGCGCTGAAACGAGGAAACCATCCGTGAAAAGTCCGCCAATCGGTGCGATCTTAACATGAGATCTGAGCACCATCAAGACCTGGATTTAAGCTACGACCCATCACCTCCCAAGTTTTTCCGGATGAGAGATCTTCCGAGAGTGTCATCATCTCGAACAAGAATCTTCCAAGTCTTGCAAGACGTCTGTTTAATCACATCCAAACCTTGTGCAGCTATCCCAAATGTGAGCTTAAATCAACCTGAAGGGGTGGCTTGTGGCTTAGCTTGTGGGGCTTTAGACACCGGCAGCTGACTTTGGGACCAAATGCCAAAACAAGTCACATTGCATGAGATAGAGCGAGTAGAAGGACAGGGATGGCACAGTAATCTGAAGCGCCGCGTAGGCTGTCCGAATCAATGCATCCCAGCGTCGCGAAGATGTGCAAACAGAAATCAGACAGGCCAGTAGTGTTGTTGAGGCAAATGATGCCAAAGCGAAAAGCAAATAGATGTTCAAATCCTCTAAGCTTTCCAGTGGTCGGAGGCAGCCAATCAAAGGAAGAGTGCATGGAGAAAAGGCTGCCTGACTCAAAGTTGAAAACCACAGTAGAACGTGCAGTTCCTGAATCTCCTTAGCCAGTTCTGCAACGCATCTGCGATGTCTTTGGATGTCTTTCAGCCAATGTACAGTGAGTCGCTGCACTCTGACAAGGTTTCTCAAGGGTCCAAAGGACTGCAGTATTCGACTACAAGGTTCTGACAAGTTCAGGAATTGTCGATTCTGTGCAAGACCACCAGGGTGTCTTTGCAGCCAAGTCTCAAACGTTGTCAAAGGTTCTAGCGCCATCTTGGATAGAACAGCATGAATCAGAAGAGCCCGCAGTAGCCTGTCAAGGATGCAAGACCAACACCGAACTCAACATTTGATGCTTCTTGTGTTTTTCTTTGTGTGTGTCTCTTTTTTAGCCCACTCGCTCTCACCCCCCTCCCTACTTAGTTGAGTAAGGAATTGAGGTGGCTAGCACCTTACCTAAGCTACTGGTATGGACGCAGGATAGCTCACGCACTATTCATTTGGTTCTTAGATTTTTGGCGAAACTTAGTGTGCCAAGCAGCGCGATGACCACTGGCCCCGATATGGAATGCACATTCCAAGCTGAGTCTCTGATAGCGAGTGAAAGCCTGAAAAGTTCAGAATCGGAAACCGCTCGAAGAAGTAGGATTCAGTCTGCAAGCGACTTCAAACATGAGCGCCGGCAATATTCATATGAGGCGCTACATATTCATTGTCTAGAGAGCATGCAAACACTGTTCAAAAACTGTTCAAAACAGTTTCAGCCAGAAAAGGCACCGAGCTAGCAAACAGGTGCACTGCGGCCCTTTCAATCAAGGAAATATTCGCAAAAGACAAACCACCGTGAAGTTTGCTTCAAGGGGCAACAGGATTGATATCACCTGGAATGCAGCCTTGGCTGTGGTCAGAAAGTGCTAGCGAATGGCTAAGACGTCACGAGATCTTCTGGAAATTGCCTCTGGCGCCAAGCTGCCAAAACCAAGGTT